ACAACAGAGGCCATAATAAACTGTGCTGGGCAGGATGCAGTTTGGGATTAAGGCCTTCAAATTTAAATGCCTGGAGGTGCACGTGTATGTGCCATGGTGTCTAGGCTGCACCTGAGTGAAAGTGTAGTAATACAGTACAGAAGCCTGGAAAAAGAGACTGTGTATGCCCTGCACCTATGGCTGGCCAGGTCAGCTGAGAAAAAACAAAAACAAAAACAAAAACAAAACAAACAAACAAACAACAACAACAAAAAAAAAACAAACAACAAAAAAAACAAACCCTGTAGTATTCTGCTATCAAATTCCTTAGATTAACATCTGTATTTCTTGCCTACCTAAAAGATAAGTATGACATGCAATTAGCAATACTGTTGATGAGTGCTAGAATCTAGCAAGATTGATTTGAAAGTGAAAAGAGCACCAGATGTGTGATTACTCCACTACAAGAGATTTTTCTAAATGGGAAATTACTGTAGTTTCATGCAGAAAATGCCGTTCCCCACAGAATGATATTGCACTGACAGAAAGTGGCATGTAACTGTTCTGTTTTTCTTGCAGATTAAGTCCTTTGTGTCTACTAGACAATACCCTTGAACAGCATATTCTTGATTTTAATCTTTGTATGTGAAAATAATTAAAAATATAAACAAGTAAAACAAACTACTTGAAAATCAAATGCTATCACATATCACATTTAAATGTCATCAGGTTAGAACACTGTGTTATAAAATTATGAATAATGTGTTCACCTTTCCTTACTATCATCCATTTATGTTATTACTAAAAATGGGTTCATATTAATAAAATAGAGCACTTACAACTAACTGAGGTAGGCAGAGTTCCATGTATGTGTGCAGATGTAGTTTAAGTGGTAAAAAATTGTCATCTTGATTGGATCATCTACATTTAATTGTATGAGACTAGGAGACATGAGATTATCAGCTACAATGAAAATGGAAACATTTTCTGCAAAAGCCATCATTTAATTAAATTAGGTTTGCATAAAATTCAAATCTGTTGTGGTATATTAGTTCTCTGTCACAATGTGAGCTTTATTTCATAGCTGTTAAGGAGAAGCAATGCTGTCTTACAAGATTTAAGCTAGCTACTTAAAGAGAGAATGACTTTTCCCCTCCTCTCATTTTAACTGTAGGCTGTGCATTTACACTGACATGGCCTTTGAGGTGATAAAATGAATCAGAATATTTTTTCCTTAACAGAAAATCCTCTTCAAAATGTTTTTGTTGTTTCTGCTAAAATACCTACAATGTAGAAGGAAAAAAAAGGTATTTTTTGATGACTGTAAATTAAAGGCACTTTTTTTTTTTTATTAACACCTTTAAGGTTTCCTGCTGAAGAATGATTTTTGAAGAAAGAATATGCTATCTGGAAAACAAAACAGAACAAAAAACAATGGAACCTCTTGCAACAGAATATTTTGTCCAGACAGGTTGTGGAATTCAGCACTGCTGTAGAAGTATTTTGGTTCAACTTCATATCTGTCTCCAGACTTCAGCAGGAGCCTTAAATTATGTTAGCCTAGGGCAAAGTTAAAAGAAACCAGCAAGACTCCTAAAACTCCCATCATTTGATTTGAGACAAATTAGAGGTATTGTTTATTCTCAGCTAGCAATTGCTGTGCAGAAAATGGCAAAGTAAAATAGAAATATTCCATGTGAATTCTAAAGTGCTACTTTCATCTGCAAAACTTTCTAAGCTCTTGCAGTACACTTCAAAAGACATTCTGAAGTGATTTGAGAAAGTCCAAAAACATCACAATGACATCACTTCGCTCAGTATAGGGAATTTTGTTATGTGTTTAGAATAAAACTTCAAAAGAAGTCTCCATAATAAAAACATGTCTTGGGTTCTTTTTAGTTTCTCCTTACTCTTGGAGAGACAGATAAACAACGAGAAGAAACTTGTCATGCAAAATTTTTCTCATATCAGCATAGCTATTTAACATACTGTGTTGAGCTGATCAGTTTCACTGGCATGCACCCATTGGAAGGATCTTTATTTCTCATCAAAAATGCACACGCATACATGTGGGATGCACACAAGAAGGCTCAGTTTTTGTCTCCCTTGACAGGTCTGGAATCTACTTCAGCTGTAATGTGTTGTGTTTGCTAGCAGTCACTGAGGTACAGTAATTCAATTTCATTTCTAGTCACTTTTTGGAGCTGACCAGTACTTTTGAGTTAAGGTCTAGTTTTAATCAAATTCACTTTTCACTTTGCAGAAGCATTTCCAATATTACCTAGCTTGACTGCATTTTAATTCTATTATGTCACATTTCCAATTTTTATATTAGCATCTCTGTACGGATGTAGAAAATAAAGTACCATAAGAACTATGCTCCAGAGTACAGTTTCATGTAATATCTTTTTATCTGCAGTAAAATACACAATAATTAGGAAATTCAAATAATCAATTAAACGGTACTGAGTTTTCACCATTTCAAAGACCATCTGGGAGATAACTATGTCTTTTCCTTGGAATAAAAGGTTGAGCAAGAAGACCTTATATTTTTGTATGAGTGTGAAAAAGTATAAGGAGGTTATTTTGAAAAGAATTGGAGAATAGATAAGGTGTTCTTCTGATAAGCCTGCAGGTGTACTTTGGAAGCTGGAAGATATTAAAATATACAGTAAAGAATATTAGATATACTCAGGGGAACAGATATTAAATATGAGAAAGTACCACGTGGATAATTAAATACAACAGCATTTAATTTCTCAAAGCCAGGATGACAACTGTGTTTGGACCCAAAGACAACTCTTCATTATGCCTTCATGGTCATAGTGGCAGACCATTTACCTGTGAGAGGGAGCAAGATTTAGCACATGAAATGTCAGTACTTAAGTAAAGGACAAGGCATAAATCACACACAACTTCATGTGAATGAACCTGGATAATCTCTGGATGCTTTTTTGGTTATTTGTTTGATGTTATACTGGAGGTCTTGGATTTTCACTGGAGCTGCTCTGATATCACAACTGCATCTTTGTACAGACTAGGCTCGGACTGAGTTACAGGGTCACAGTGTTACCATATTGCAGTGGTATATTCTCACAGTGAGGTCATTGCTCTAGCATAAAAATGAATTTAAACTAAATAAAATACAACATTACTATTTAGGGAAGTTATGCACTATAAATACTAAGTAAATATATTTTAAACACTATCAACTTGTGTATCTTAAAACCTAGTCAGAAGCACTTATTGAAATATGACCAGTTACCAGAAATACTTTAATTTTAAAAATAATATGCATACCTGTGAATTTTGCCAAAACATTTTTGTGCTACATGAGATATTAGAAACAGGTTATAAATAAAGCATTTGCTCAGCATTGCTGCCACTGAAAACAGTCACCCAGTGACAGATACTCCACTAGCTCCAGTCCCCTTTTAAAATGTTCACATCAGAAAGTGGGTCATGCTGAGGGCACACACTGAAATAACGAGTATAGCGTAGAGGGGATAATTGATAATATTTCCAATTATGCTTTAAAATACTTTTGTTTTGGAATTCCAGAATCCCCTTTTACTCAATATCATGGCTTTGCTCTGACATGTTGCAAAAGTGGGCTAGGACCCAAATCTAAGATCCAAACACATGGAAACTTTGGATCCAGAACTACTGCAGAGTTAGAAATAAGCCCTCCTGTCCCTTGTACACTGAAATGAAGCAGCTGTGAAGAAACCCTGAGCTTTGATGGAAAAGATAGAGATGTCTGTGATTTAACTGAATTGGAATCTTTATCTAGTCTGCATTTAAATTCTAGTATTAATCTAACATCAATAGATATTATCCGTATATAACCATTTTTTGAACTCATCTTGAATCAATGCCACTGTAAGATGTACAGTACATTTTCAACTTGCCATTGAAACTTATGATTTTAGAATGGAATGATATGTAATGTTATCATTGATACTTGATAGCAATGTCTAACTGAAGTTGTGAAACAAAATTAATTTTTGTTTTGAAAATTGAGGTCTTTCTTGTCCTTTCTGTGTTGATGTTATTTTGACATTACCGTAAGAATTTATGATTACTACCATATAGAGACAGTGTTAGTCAAAGTCCTCCTAGTATCTCATGTAGTTGCATTAAAATTTAATTGGCATAGGATTAACTGTTTAATTGTAACCTTATATGGAGTATTTGTGATGTAATTGCAGACAACTCTACTAGTTTTAGTAACAATTTTATGCACTGTACACATAACATAAGGCTCTCTTGCCTGAATAATTTAAGCTTATTTAGCTCTCTAGTTTTCTTATTTAAAGTGTTGATATTCAAGGCATCTAACATAACACTCCAGGCTTTGTAGTTTTTTTAACGGTTCTTGGTAGGCAGATGATATCATATTTACAAAATAATAGTGTAAAATTGTGCAAACAGACTGTAAACACTGTATTGGTGCTAGACCAGAGTAATGTGAAGAATTAACTCTTCAGAAGTCTAGAGCTATGAATGTTTGTTCTTTTGAGGGGAAATAGAAAAAAAATCCCTTTGTAATTGAAAAATAATGCAAAAAGTAGGAAAGTTGTCTCTGCTTTTTTTTTTTTTTTCTCTGTGTTTAAATATTTTTTTCAGATATAACTAATGGTTTCAAATGGGTGAAGTTTACCTTTCTGCCTTGCTGGTCTGCTTCAGATACTCATGCCAGATGTCATATTCAGTTGTCATGCCAACAAGGCATGACATTTATTTTCTTTCTGAGTCAGAGACCTGTGAAATTTGAATCAAATGCTTAAGTGTCATCCTGAGTATATATTCAGAAAATACTTTATAAGAAAATATGATCCCTCTGTCAGGAGTTAAGCCACAAAGAGAAAATAGATATTTGAAATGTCTGGTCAAAGTCTTTCATCTCTTCATATTCCTAGGAATTCAATTCTACTCTTCTCACATTTTAATATATTGATTTTTTTTTTTTCCAAAACAAAGCAATTCAATGAGAAAGGTGTGTGTTTTTCTTTTTGCAGGAAATACTTCTTTTCATTGGAGTACCCACCAACCAATGCCAAGAAAGAGATAACGTATTTTTGATGAAGTATGAAGAAACATACACCTCAGGTAAATGTATACAACAACAGGGCTGACTATTTGTTAATGAATAGTAGTGAACATGTAATTGATATGGCACTTTAATTTTTGCTCTCCTAAGAAATTTATAATGAATTATATTTGCAGTTTATGAAGTGAATACAACATTCTCTAAATGTAATTTCCAGGCTGACATTGACAAAAAGCTTGAAGGAGCTGTTTTTTTTTTTTTTTTTTTTTTTCCCTTGATTAAATTGTAAAAGTAATAGAGTAGTGTCAGGTCAGAGATACAAGAAAAGGTCTGTGTTCACAGCATCCATAAAATAATAAGTACATAGGAACTGTGGCTGACATTCTAACCACAAGCTCACAGCTTGTACAGAAGCAACAGTAAAGAGACTGAAAATCTGTCTATCTGGACTGTAGCAAGCAACACATCTGAAAAAAAAATTAGAAACATTAACTGAACGATCAGTATGAATTTAGTACATGAATTTAAGACAAATCTGTTTGCAAAAGAGAGAAGAAAACAGATCTTCAGCATTTTTCTGTACTTTGGTGAAAGCATGGCTTTTTTTTTGGAGTCTGGGATTACTAATGCAGACAATGTGTACTTCTAGCTGGACAGAAATGGACCCAGCATAGATGGCTTCAGTCTTTCATTAATGTAAAAATATTTCTAAACACACCCAAAAAGCAAATAAACAAAATTTAATGTAGTCCTCAGGGCAATATTTGATTCTTAGCAACAGGATTATAAAAAATACCTTTGTTTTTGCATGCTATCCCTTGGTTAACTGCACCGTTTGGCTCCAATAGCTAGTCTCAAAATGTCTAATATACAGGAATTGCTTTCTGTTTAGTCACTGCTATACCATAACTGGCAAAAGAGAACTGAACTGCAACAGAGTTGCAATCACCTCAACACTGATCCATTGTTCTAACTTTAATACTTTATTATTACCAGACCATGTTAGAAAAATATGTTTATGTTTTATTAGCACAATTGTATATGTTGTGATATCTATGGAAATATGAATCATAGTATTAGGTGTGGTGTGTTAATAGGCCATTCCACAACCACTGAAGAACTTTTTTTCACAAAATTTTAAGTAAATCTATGGTCTTTAATTTGTTGTCAAATGTTACAGAATAGTCATACCTGGCAGGAATGGGTAAGCATTAGAAGGAACAAAATGCATTTATGTTCCTCCTTGCAACACTGGCTCTAGCTTACTCTTTGCTGTTTCTGAGAAGTTTAGGTTTAGGTTTTGGTTTTGCTGTATTTCCCATTAAGACTGTGATTGGAACACTGTATTTTTTTCTGATACATGATGTAGTGAGGGCCAAGTGATTATTAAATCCATCATTTAATAATAGGATGATAATTTCATCTAGGCCTTGGGCTACAGTTTTGACCGCTACACTTGCTCACTTTACATAACTAATTTCCAAAGAACCTAGTGTACCTAGCGCTCTCAAGATATATGCTGAACTGGACATGCCATGACGTACCACATATATAGAAAAGAAGTGAACTGAGATTCTAGTTGCAAAATACCTGTTCACCACTGGTGATCATTCACTTGTTTGTAGTACCAGATCCATCCACAGATGTAAATACAAACCCATTTTCATCATGTTAAATTACAATAAGTATTTATGAAATGTACCCTGATACAGTTGGCATAGACATTATCAGAAAGCCATTGAGCTCAGCAGAGGGCCACCACAGGGCTGGGGGCTGGAGCACTCATGCTCCAGCACATCTTCCTGGTGTGCTACATTTTCCTGATGTAAGAAATGCTGCCAAGAGACCTGTTTTTCAGACCACAGAAGGGAAGGAGGAGGGAGGATCTTACTGCTGCCTTCTGTTACCTAAGGTCTGGTGAAAAAGATGAAGCCATCTCTTTTTCTGGAGGGGCAAAGTGAAAAAACAAGAGGCAATGGATAAAAGCTGCAAAACCTAGATATTTCAATCAGATGTTGGGACTCTCGTATACTGGAGACCCTTCAAACAGTGGAGCAAGTTGCGTGGAGACTGCAATTTCCATCCCTGCAGACAGTAAAAACTTGACTGAAGACAGTCCTGGGCAACCTGGACTAACTTTGAAGTTGGCCTTGCTTTTGTCTGGGCCTTGGACCAGGCGTCCCTTCCCACCTAAATTATTCTGTGGTTCTGTGAACATTGATGTATGGATGTAAAGCAAGAAAAATGGAAAGCTGATTTTGAGCAAAATTATTTTGTTTTTATTTTTACTGTTGTGCTTTCAGTAGAATAGAGAAGATGGAGGTCATTGTTTATACTTGCTATATAAATTTTCAAGACTGTGGGCAAGTGACCAAACTGAAAGGAAAAAATTATTCATCAACAGGCCCAAAACTTTTGGCAACTGCTCTATAATCCATTTGTTGGCTGTTTGTTTTTCTATAGATGTAGATTAGTTTGCCTGAGCCAAATATCTTAGAAATTAATGCATAAATATGTGTTTTAACCTGGTTGCCAGTAAAAGAAAAGTAAAATGAAATCAATGCATCAGGGAAGGATTCATTGATGTGAGTAGCCTCATCTTCAAAACAGCCAGTAAAAAGCAGAAATAGCCCTAATGTGTTTTAATAGAGCAAAAGAGGTATAAATTGTGGTCCATTTCTCTCTATTAGATCTTATTTTTCTGTGTTAATTTTTCATGGACTTATTCCAGAAGGTTTCTTGTGAACATAGCTCATACAAGATGAGCCTGAAAGGAGACCCTCAGAACAGCTTCAGAAGTCTATCTTCCTGTATGCTCTTGCTAGTTTTCACTTACTTCCCTTTTCTGCTTCTCTGTGCAGAATGTAATGATGTTTTCCCAGAAAAATACTTGATCAAGAAATAAAACATCAGCCTCACCAACTGAACACCTATTAACGGTATCTCTGCATCTTGTAATTTTTTTTTCTGTACTCTGGAGAATGAAACCTGTCAGACACAGATGTGCATGGAAGTGGCTTGGCGAGATGATCGTGGGGGGATGCTAACAGCTGCTGAGGTCAAAAGTGCAACAGCTTTGGAAGGGTGTAGCAGACACCTGGCTTTGTCTGAAGCCAGTGGGTCAAGGTCTCCCTTTTACGAGCGCGTCACCACTTTTACATTGATATCTATTGCCCAAATGCTTGGAAGAAAGGTGACATGTATGTATTAATTGCATCTTCATTTTTTAAAGAACAGACCCTCACCCTCCTTAGAAATTGAGCCCTTATTCAGCATTGCATTCTTTTTGTCAGTATAAAAGATGCTGGGTGTATTTGTGTTTATCAGTGTATTGACATTGTATTTGTCTTCATGGATATCTGATGATTCTCAAATTAAAGAAGACAGAAGAGGTAATTCACGTCTCTATTTCAAACACAAATTAAGATTAACACCAGACCAATGAGGGAGGGAATTTGAGTCTAAGCACAGGCATAACAGTGGAAATGTCTCCTGAGGACATGGCCATATATGATCTATGTTCATGAATCAGCTGAGGAGATGACAGGAGCATTGCAGAGGGATCTGGGACTCCTAAGGTGGGAACACCAGAAAAAAAAGTACCCTGCCTGTCACTTCCACATGCACTTCAGTAGGATAGAAGATCTACCTCTTTGTCCTTTGGCTCTGGATGACTCACACAACAATGATGAAGGCTCCTTAGATCTCTGTGCCATCCTCCACCTCTCATCATGGGGGCTGATCAGTGAAGAGATGTGGACACTTGCAGTCTTCCTTTGGCTTCTGTATGATAGAACAGTACCTCAAATGATCTGGAGAAAGGTTATGTCAAAGGTGCTCAGGAAGGAAAAGGAGCAGCCTTTGCTTGGACACTGTTAAAACACAAACCTTTGGTGACCTTGATCATTTTTTCAGCAATGAACTGGGTCTATAGACCTCAAAAAAATCCCAGGAAATACTTTCAGCACTGGTTGGAAAAGCTCAGGATTAAAGAACCTTTCACATCTGTTCCCTGTCACCAGCTTAAATTTAACCTATGACAGTAATGAGTGAAAGTCCATGTGCTGGTTGGCTTGTGTAAAGACTTTGTAGTCATTTGTGTGCATCACAAATGGAGTTAATTGACAGCTGTGTCAACAGCCTCTTTGAAGGAACCAGGAGTTCATTAGGCACATGGATAGAGCTGGTCTTTCCCTGGTAAAAAAAAAATACAATAAAAAAAAAATACCCCTTTTATATGCGGCACTTGAGATGGAGTAGCATGGGGAAACTTGCCAAGATGCTGCCTGGTTTCTAGCCATGACAGTAGTCACATTGCTGAGGACCGCTCTATTTTGGCGGCAGTCCCGCAGTTCGCCTGCCTCCCAAGCACAGAGGAGTGACAAGAAGCTGAGGGGTTTCTCCCTCACCAGCATCTGGCACTTGCAGGACTGAGCTCTGCTTTCTCCTGTCTCTGGGCAAAGGCAGAACTGCCCACCTGAATTCAAGGAGAAAATCCTTAAATCCTTTAAAAGATTTCATTGTAAGGCATTTTTGCATGGGCTCATTGTTAAATGATTGCACATAAAAATGCATTGATGAAAGGCATCTCTATCTTTCTGTTTCCCCTTTGTGGAGTCTTTCCTTCATAAATATAATTACAGCTATTCAGTGGTTAAAGTACTTACACCCTTTCCACACACTGTAAAAGTCCTTTCTGGAGCTGGTGCTTACTGGAAAGTGTGCTTATTGAAAGTTTTGGATTACTGAAGCTGTGCATGTCAGCCCTGTCTCCCATCCTTCCTCACTGATGACTATATGGACTTAGTCTGGGAAATTACTCAGTACCTTTGCTTAGAGATTTAAATCTTATGTAGTCTTTTCAAGAAAGAGGTTGGTGATTCCACCTGTAGTTGTAAATCACCAGATTCACACGTTGTTTGCAGAATAACATAATCAAACATTTTGCTATGGGAAAAGGAAGACAATGGCTGTACTGAAAGACACAATGGGCATCTGTTAGTGTAACAACAGGAGGGTTTTGTATAAATTGAGGAATGCTTCCATCTCATTCCATTATGTTTCTATGGGTTCTCAAGAAAACTACTTTCATTTCTGTGCCTACATCCTGTCCCATGGATTTCCTTGCTGTACCTTCTGCTGCTTCAGTGGAACTGGGCTACGGTGAGCCATACAAAGTGGATGAGGTTGCTGCATGGTGTACCAAAGAGCTGGTCACAGACAACAAAAGAGTGCTTAGTAGGTAACATTAGCACATGTGTGTACAAGGCAGGATATAAAAGTCAAAGAAAGAGGATTCAGTTTTATAGTTAGCAAGGATACATTATATGGCATAATTATGACTTTTTTTTGTTGTTTTGTTTTGTTTTATGCTTTGCTATCTCCAAATGAATAATACTCATTATTGTGTTTGCATTGTACATCAGATTCAGGCTGAACACATAAGATCATTGCTTCGTATTTTTGAAGCACTTCCTACCTTCCTCTTCACTCTGCTGTGGCAGTTCTAGTATTAACGTCTGTCCTGATAATCCATATCAGATTTGGCCCTGGTCCTGAGGGCTGGCCTAGATGATCCCCAAAAGTTCACCTAACCTTTTGTGACCTATGGATAGTAAAAAATTTGCAACTGTGAGAAATAAGCCAGAAATTGTTTGTCCCACCTACAAAGCACGCTAGAAGTAACTATGAAGTAACCCTAGATTAATGACAGCATGGCTCTGTTTCCTCACAAAAAATGACTTTATTGCAGACACATGAAAGTGGAAAATAAAGCTATGAAACAACAGTTTTAGTAGGGGATCACTTTGTCACATTTCTGTACATTATTCCTACAGTTAAGGCACAATGAAAGGATAGTTTGATTCATTCTTTTTAAACCACAAGAATAATTCTTTTAACCTTCTCCATTAACCACAAGTGTTGTAAAAAAAACATAGAACAAAACTGTGACCCTGTATAGTTCCCTGTCTGCTTGCATTTTCTCAGATTCCACTAAAAATGAGACAAATTTAGCATTAACATTTTCTTTAAGCCTATGTGGTTATTTCCTTTAAGCAAGAAAAATATTAAATAAAATTAAAAAATCTTGAGACTAAAAGGAGCTCCAAGGAACACAGTTTGAACAGGACAGTACAGGTTACTGCACTTCAGCCACTAATGAAACTAGTCCAAAATTTGAGTTCTTAGAGGAAAACAAGTTACTATTTATTTTATTTTATTTTATTTTATTTTATTTTATTTTATTTTATTTTATTTTATTTTATTTTATTTTATTTTATTTTATTTTATTTTATTTTAAAGAGTTGACTGTGGTAATTTGCTAAGAACCAAATGTCTTGATTTCCTGAATTCTTGTACATGGTAACAAGCTAGGTCTAAGGGCTATGGGGTGGCCACTGGAATGAGTTCATTTTTGTCTTCTTTGCCCAATTAAAACTGAAATCTTTAAGCCAAGAAGTTGAAAAGTGATGCATATTTCTTAATTTCTGAATGTCCTTTTTCTGCAATCTTGAAGAATCTTGGATTTTAGAAAGTGAAGAGGACATTATCCAACAATCAAAACCCTTATGTCTAAATGGTAATAAATGCCCCAGATTAGTGCATTCAGAGTCACTGGTCATTTCAGAAAGGCCTGAGAATAAAGTATTGTTTTCTAAACACATTTTTCCCATGACCTACTAAGGGAATTGTGCAGTTACTACCTCCTTATCTATATATTTTTTTAGTAATGTCAATGCCCAGAGGAGATAATGTGTTGGATTAATTATCTGTGAAATATATATTGGGGATTTATTATTTTCTTTCATAAGGGAAAGGGCTCTGTCATGTTTTCCTATGAATATTAATGCATAAATGCTCTAAAAAATAAATACATGAAAAACAAAACAAAACAAAAAAACAACAGGGCTTGTGCTTTATTTTATGACTCATTGCAAAGTCTGTGGCATCAGAAAATCTGGGGATACCCACATGAGAGACTCAGAGACTTTGTGGCCTGCATTTCTTTAATTTTCAACAGAATTTAAACTTCTAAATTTACATTATGTTAATCAGTTGGGATTTATGAACACTTTAGGTTAGTTTCATGAAGTTCATTTGTTATCCAGTATGAAGTGCAGTACAATTAAGTTTTGCTGTCTAATAAAAAAAATATATATATATACATATATATATAAAATCTGAGAATTTTTAATAAAAAACCTGTCAGACTATTCCCTATCCACTGCTCATTTAGGCAAAGAAAACAGCTAATATTTTAGAGCCATACTTATAAGAGAAAAAATAATAATTTCTAAATCTGGAATAAGACAAATGCAAATACAATCCTTTGGGGCTTTGTTCCTATTTCCTGTATAGAAGCTGTAATTTTTTGTAGTATCCTTCCACCTTATTGCTTGTGTCTAGACATAAATTGACCATAAAACAATATTAATATTGTATATTGCCCTGGTAAAGCGTTTTTGTTTGGCATCAGGGTGGAACTTTGAACATTTTAATGGTACTTTCTGTAGCACAGTAGTTGTGAATGAGTTTATTTTAATGTAGAAATAAATTGGTTACTGAAGGTATTTTTATTATGCATCTCCTTGTAATTTCTGCCAAATAAACAAAATATTCCTCAGATAATTGGCCTATTAGTCTGTCACTTTCTGGCTATTTTTTCTATGCTGAATTAAAGGGGCCATAAATCCTAAATTCTTTATTAGCTTGCTGACTTTGCAGAGTTTGATGGTAAATAAACTGGCACAGCATTAAAAGCTCCTTATTGAAGGAAGACAATATGTTTTTTTGTATCGACTACTGCGTGATTCAATTTTCACTAAGTATCACCATGACCTTTATAACAGCACCATGAACTTTAAAAGCCAGTTTGCATGTGGTGGTTAACTTTCCCTTGTATAATGTGGTTTTAAAATGATGACCCAGCCTTTCCAGACTTGATAAGTGTGCAGCTGATAGTCTAATAATGAAAACAAAAGGTCTTAACAATTCTGAGAGCAATAATTAAACATTAAGTCATTAAGTGGCAAACTTGTGGAATTAATTGCATGTAAATGATTTTTTCATCTGCATATTATTATTATTATTAGTGGTACTACTACTGAATTATGTTTATCCTGTTTACATAAAAAAGGCTTTGAGCCTTTGCTTATAACTTTGAATTCTGGTAACTAAATCAAGATATCTATCATGCTGCATGTTGCTTTTGACTCTTACATTAAAGTCATTTCCCTTGTATCTGAGTGCTTGTCCTCTGCTTCTGCCTCAGGCAAATTATCATGAGACATCAAAATGTAGCCGTGCTGAAGACATCTAGTTTACTCCTGCAGAAGTTAAGTGTCAGGACCAATATTTGTACAAAAGGCAAATCAATATTGAGTGGACCTAGATTTGGGATGTAGCTGTTTGAAGACACAAGGTGCAAATCTCTTTCTCCTAGTCTGCCCATTCCTCAGGAACAGCTGTGTTCGTGTAGAGGAAGAAAGGTATCACCATTAATGCACAAGATAGGTGGTTGCTCACAATTATGTGTAGGCCATTTCCTCTTCAATTGCCCCCTTTGAAATGGTGATATTTTTTTCTGGAGGTAAAAATTTGATAAAAAAATTTAATAGTTAGAGCAATAGCTTCAAGTGCATTTTCAACTTTGCATACTTTTTTTTTTTTTTTTTTTTTTTTTTAATGACAGGGTATTTTGGTTTTATTTTAGGTTCTGTTTTTATTTTATTTAAGTTAATACTAAGACAAATGATTAATCTATGTTGGCACTGAATATCTACAAATGAGAACCAGGCTTCTTGAGAGAATGCTTCTATCTTACACACTTTCTAAATCCAAACATACGTGCAAAATGCTTGCAGGTATTATTTATGTCTGTAATGGGCAGAGAGTGCAGGATGGATGTGTAAACAAGAAATTTCTATCTCTGCTACAAATTTGCTTTACATCTCATAGTTTGTCAAGTTTGTCATAAGTTGTTCATTAAACAATTGCAGTGTCTAACAGGTTTAGTGGTGATGTAGAAAGGTTTCTTTACTGGTGTGCTTGTGATAATTGTACTAACATTTGTACTAACAATTGACTAACGTGCACAGCATTCAAATCTGTCTTTCTCAAAAGTAAATTTTTAGAATGTGATTTTCTTTTTGTCCTGCTTCCCTCTTATTCCTCATGAATATATGGGTTTTAAAACCAGCCCTGTCTGTGAAATAGCTAGGGTCTCTACAGTAGGACTGTATGATTTATTCCAGGCAATTAAAATCAATTCCTAACCTACACAAGGCACTAAAACCTGAATTGCTCAACACACTGGGCTGTTGAGCGCTGTGTGGTAGATTTTATTGTACCATAAGTGCTTTACTGTGCTGTAAAAAGGAGAACGTAATTGCTGTGTACAACTAATATATTCAATTAGGTAAGGATAATGTTTAATAGAGCTTTTTGTTGGTTTCACTTACAACTTGTGAGTTCAAAAGAGACGCTGAAGTTAGGGAATTTCAGGATGTAGAGTGCTCTAAGTATGACATACGCTTCAACAGCCTAGCACCAAAGCTATCCTGCAGAGACAGGATTATTGTGCATTTCTGCATTGACTGAAATGGCAGTGCTTAATTTATATTGATTCAGCCTGATAATTGGCAGCTGGAGGCTCTTACAACTTGTTGAAAGAGTGTTTGTTTTCCTAGTGCAGCTCCTTAGGTGCAATGACATCAGATTCTGTCTGTATCCTAAGAGCAGATATAGGAAAGTTTTTAATAGTTAAAATTAGATACCTGAACAGCCAACTATGAACAGAAGTTGTTTACAGTGATGGCATAATTTCACCTGCAGGCTTTAGGTTTTATTTTGTTATGTCCCTGTGCAGCTCAGTGAAGACAGATTTCACTACCTAGGTATTCTTTGTGCACAATCACAGTTCTATATTAGTAGGACTGCTATGGATGCCCTGGATTTACCTTGGGTGTCTCCACCCATGTGAAGGTGACAAATTCCCCAAGGTAAGCACCTGCCAAACCTTTGCCTCGAAGGACTACTGAGAACTGACCACTGTATGTAATAAACTCATTCTTCTTAGGACTCGGTTTTCGGTGGGCACTGACAGCATGCTTATTCTTAGTCTCATGTCAAGTTTATAGGTACAATATGACTTCTCTTTCTCCTGTTGTTTTTGTTGTTCTGAAAAACTACCTGTTTTCTGGGTTTTATTGCTTACTTGAGGAAATCAAAAATGTAAAAGGGAGAGTAAAGGCCTCAAAATTGTTACTGTGTGTATGTGTTTTTACACAACAGTACATGAAGACAGCTGAATCCCCAGTGTGGTTGATTGTTTTTAAAGTCCATCTTCACATGAGGATTCTTCTCATGAGGAGGGAATTGTTATATTCATTCTCAATGTTCCTCAAATTAAGAACTTCACCACAGAAATTCATGTGTGTGCCACAAGAGCAAGGTGTTAGTGCACGTTATCTTCTTGCCTGTTGACAATCCAGATACGTCCCACTGACGCTGACAGCAAGCAGAGCCCCTGTTCTAAAAATGGACCCAAGCAGCAGAAGGCCTCCTGCAGCCTTCTTAACCTGGGAAGGCCAGGGTAGGAGCTGGCTGGCCCCCAGGCTGCCTGGCAGCAGCGGCATTTCATTCCTGACCACGCAGGAAGGGCTCTGCAGTCAAATTATTCAGCAGAGGGGGAGAATCAAGCGCTGAGCATAAGCTACTCTAAGCCTCCTACAAGGCTCTTCTTATTGAGCCAGTTGGTTTCCAAGACATTTTTTATTCACCGCCATTCTCCTCCTCCTCCTCCACCGAAAGACTGGGGCTAAAGCCAAAAATTCAGTGAATTCTCTATAGTCTGCTCCAATGGGCACAACAATAACCTATTTGATCATGTGTTTGGTGGCCACAGCGCTGCCGGCCTATAGCACTTATAGCAGATACCTGGGCCCTTGGAGGGGGAGGTCTCCTCTAAAGAGTAGGACAACTTTTCATCTTGAAGAGATTTATTTTATGCAACTCTGCGACTGCATTCAGGCTCTGAATGAAGGTTGCTGGTGTCACCCATGTGACATTTGGGGAAATGCCTGGTTTGTTTTTTTTTTTTCCTGTTTTATCAGCAGTTGAGGCCCTTCTCCTTGCTATCATGGCTAGGCTAGTATCTTCCTTCCTGCTACTGTCAGCCCCAGAAAGCCTTCTCAGGGGTGAGTCCATAGTTTCTGGTAGAGGGTGCTGTAAGTGCTCAGGCTCCCTCCACTTCTGCCTGGCCATGGAGGGGTCTGCCACCACACTGAGCATCTGTTTCCTTCCATGCCAGTGGTGGGTAGGAAGTTGCCTTGTGCAATCACAGACATCATGGCTAAGGCCAGCAATACGTGAAGTAGCAGAATGAGCACTTCTGAAATCGGTGGGTGAAGCCACATGCACATCTCTTGCATGTGTTAAGACTGGCAATATATGTAATGAGCTCATTTTCACTTGAGAATGATGCTCCTGATCTTACTGATCCTTTTTCGTATCCAAATGCAGGCTTATGAACACCAGAGTAAGCAGCCTGTGATCTTCTGCCTCTTAGCCCCTTCTGGCAAAAGTCTTGAAATGTGCAGCAGGCTGAGACTGAGAATGAAGGGAGTGCCTGCTGCGGGCTGGCAGGGAGCAGGGAGTGGGGCACGTGGGGACCACTTGTTTGTGACCACAGGCAGAGCTGGGCCTCAGAGCCATGCTGGAGCAATTATCCCAGGCAGCTTTGGGCAGGGAGACCAAAGCAGACTCACAAGTAATTTAAAAAAAAAGCACTTGCAGCCCCCTGTCACTCCTTCTGCCCTCTGTGGTTATAGGGAACACTGTGCAGGAAAAGGCATGCCAAGGCCTTAGGGAGAGGAGTAGGCTGGTGCTTTCAGCCTCCATTGCCTCCTGCTTCTAGCCAAAAGCAATATTTTGTTGGGTACAGGCAGGAGTGCTGACAGTAAGGTAGGAGTGGGATCAGTCTGAGAGCTGGGCTTTGTAAGCGTGTTTCTAGAGGTGGGGGGGGGGGAATTGCCCTTGGCTCCATAGCCAAACAGCCTCTCCAGGAGGAGGGAAGCAGGAAGGAGGACCACGAAATCATCTTTGATACTTAATGCAGTCATAAGATTGTTGGCCTAACCACTGCTAGCAGCAGTAAGCTCTTGTTTTATTAGGTGAATTTTAAAATATATGGGGAGGTTATCACTTTTTCAGACTATTATAATAATATATATATGCATACAACCAGGAGAAGTATAAATTTCAATAATATTATATATACATGTATATATAAATGAAATCAGGATTTTACAAAAAGATTATATATTCTTCCCCAAAGGAGAAAAGCTGCTCTTTCACACTGCTTGAAAATATGTTAAATTTCTCATTCTCCAAGAATTTTCTTGCACGCTAAACATTATTCTTCTCTCAGCGGCCAGGTTGTTTGTGAGAACTGAACTATAAACCACTGGATATCTCCATTTGTTAACAATTTCTCTCCACTGTTTGCTTTTTCCTTGTGAAAAAGCCTGAAAGGGCTCAGAAAAGTGAATTAACAAGAGCAGTAGCCCAGGATTTGTTGTGTTCCCAAGTGTCTGTGGGTGAGAGTGAAACAGACAGGGTTGAGTCTCTGGCAGTACAGTAGGTCAAACAAGAAGAGGTGGTTTTAGGGAAGGGTAACCACAGAAGGAGTTAACCAAAACTGGATGTAACAAATGAAAATATGCATGCACATACATCTAGAAGGGACCTACTATTTGATCTTGCCTAAATCAGAGCTATTATGCTTACAAATAAGGAATCCACTTCTTGTTTAGCACAGAAACTGTCTTTGTGCTTATTATGTTAGTTGACTCCACAGCCTATGTTTAAAATGCCCCAAGGCTAGGATTGTTGTTTTTCTCCAGTCATACAGCAATACACATTTCAGCACCAATTCAACTTAGCTCAAAAAGCTGAAGTAATGCTAGTCTGGAAGCTAATACACCATATTATATTTTCCCTCTGTATTCAGAATTTGGTCTGTGGAGTATCAACTGTTTAAACTTAGTGACATTTTAAGTCCACTTGGAAAGTAAGAAATAGATTTTCTACTTCTGTGAAAGTCATCCGACAAGTAACCCAAGCATTTGTTTCTCTGATGTGAAAACTACAATATTTTGCACAGCTGGAAGGTAAGGCTAAATATCTGCCTCTTCTGGACCACTTCTCAGGTCTGTAGAAATATTAGTTCCTCTATACAAAGGAAAAAATAGACATTCTCGTAAAATGTGTCTTGAAAGAATTGTTTCTGGGTTTCTGCAGGGAATGGATTGTGTTCTTTTCTATTGGTACTTACTTTTGTTCTTTTCTATTGGTACTTACTTTTTCACTTACGAAGTGAAAAATGCTAAGTGCAAGGGAAAGGGGGGTTAAAAATAAATTTGAAGAACCAAAAAATGTAATAAATTGGGTGAGCGTGGAAAAATTCTGACAGACTATATAATTAAAAAGGTTTATTTACCTTCTTCTCTGTGACCAGAAGTATAGGAAGCCCAAAGGGAGGAGAAGTGGAATGAAAAACAATATACTGTTAATAACCCAGCTGGTACAGACAAAGGAAGTGTCTGTGAGAGAGAGCAGAGGGAATGTGGGAGAATGCTGCCTGCTGTCTCTGCGTTTCCTAGTGAAAACCTAGCTGAATATTATGCCTGTGTTCTCCCTGACTCCGCTTTCTGGAGAGATGTTGTCAGCACCTTTTGCAACCCAACGCACTCGATGTCTTGGCCCCAGTATGTCGCTGGTCACAATATGCTTTTGGTGATTTTTTTATCTCCTGGGGCATGGGCAGAACTCGAGGCTTTCATTCCTTTCTTTCATCTCTTTGAGGCATAACCCGTTCCCTGAAGTCATTGTTGACATGGGATTTCCTTGTGGTGACCGCAAAACTGCATTACCAAATTGTACACGTTTTGCCACCACAAGTGATTCTGACAATTTTCTACAGCCATTGGAAAGTGCTTTCCTAATGAGAACGATGAACAGGTCAAATGATTTCCTTTTGCTCCTTTTGCAGCCCAGAAGATTCCCAAATGCCGAGATGGTTTCCTTATTCTCAGAAACATGCTCATTTATTCTGTTGGTTTCTGGTCAGAATTAACTCTGCATGCTGGTTCAATTTCCTTCAGGCAAATTTAGATCTGGATCTAAATTCTGATGTTGTGCTATTGCCTTATGTTTACAACAAGGCAGCAGCTTCATCCAGAAGATAGGAGGCAGAGATGGAACTAAGCCACGTGATGCTAAGAATCTGTGATGTAATGTCAGCATCCTCAGCATCACTATGTATATATACTGTAATTGTGAATGATGTGTGACTTGAACACTTCCCATCTGCATGGGCCTAATGGTGATCAGGATGTGGGGTGGCTATGGGAACGTCTAAGAAAAAAACAACACACCTGAAAGGCAGCTAATATCATTTCACAGAGGGTATTCTGGTGTCACGGCTGCTGGAATGCTTGATGCTTTTTTTTTTTTTTTTTTGGGGGGGGGGGGGATGGTGAGATGGGGATAAGTGCATGGAAAGAGGCAAAGTCCTTTTCCTTTGATGTTCATACTTCAATCTCTTTAAATGGACACCAGGGTTTGATGGCATTTTCAGCATCTATTAAAATAGATTGAAGTGACTCAGAGCCACTCTACTGTAAAATCTGTGCAGTTTTAAAAAGCATGGGGCAGCCCTGTGTCCCCAAGTCAGAAAAGAGAACAAAGAACAGCTACAATAAATAATAACCCTGTGAAAAAAAAAATAATAAAAAAATAATACCAGAAAGACTGAGAGCCTGCCACCATAAACATTATTTTACAGGAAATGACAGTTCCTTAAAAATATTGAGAATAATTCTCTGAGGGAAGGAGAAAAACAACAAACCCTTTTCCATTTTAGAATTACCCAGTGATGTCAAGGCTAAACCATTCCTGTCTTGTGATCTTGACTAGATGGTCTCTGAGTAAAAGTTCTTCAGGAATATAAATGTAGCCCTTACTGTAACCCTGGATTTTGCAGCCCTGGTACAAATATGGCTGGTACAGTATGACTTCTGGTCACATCAGCATCTTTTGTGCCTTGTCACAGCAGCTTACTGTGGATAGGCACAACTGCCCAGAGCTGTTCGTTTGGAGATTGAACTCTGGCTTGAAGACACTCCTCCTTCCCATGTGCTACCCATGTGCCTTAATGGTTGGCACCTGCACTTAGGTGGGCGTTAGCTGCAAATCTGCATTTGAGTACAGAAGAGGGGACACTCAGAGACACCTACCTGAAGCAAACCCTGTCCTGTCCAATGCAAACGAGCCAGATCATGGCAGAGGTGAGGAATGGTGTGTTCCCCTCCTAGATATGCAATAGCACTCAGGTGGTATTTATTTCATACTGACATGCAAAAGGACTGCAAGTGCTTGATCAGTTTGTTCATGAGGGAAGAATTGGCTTGTAATAATTGGTCTTCAGCCTTGAGTATGCTGATCCTGACTTTCTTACTCTCAGGTAAGAGTAAACCCTGGGATCTGCAAGCTCTGCACTAATTTAGAAACATGCATTTCACTAAATACTCCAAGCCTGTGTGCAGGGAAAGTACAAACCAAACATGGGACATAGGGAATTCGCCTCCTATTTTTAGAGTGCTTTGAAAGTGTGTGCTTAAATGGGAGACCTGAATTAAGCCCAAGGCATTTTCCCCACAACTGTGGTTTAATAACTATACCAGCCATGATTTTTATACTGGTAATAGCTGCTTTATTATTGAAAGATGCTTTAGCGTCATTTCACAGCTTTTTGTGCTGTTTTAAGTTCTACAATGCGCTGCTTGATTAATGTTTTTGTAAAAGCTTCTCTTTGTAAAGGAGAAACTTAAAAACAAAGCAGACAGGAAAAAAAATAAGGGAAAACATTTCTTGAAATAGAAACTGATGACCATTCTTCTTATCTAGCATGTTTTCATCTGCAAAAAGACATGCACCATATGTTTGTTAAAAAATTTAATCCCAGCCAAAGAGTTCTTATCCTCCCCCATAGGTTTCAGTTCCGTACTCTGCAAATGAACAGAAGCCACTTTGATAAGGGTATGAAAAATAGGGAAAGGAGAACAGCCTGAAATGTAACCACTGCAAAGCAACTTGTGAGTATTTTGCAGATACGTAGAAGGGATTGGAAAAAGAGGAAAGACTTCCTTCTCAGGTATGCTTGCATGTGTAAGGGACATGAGGAGTTAAGGGCATCCGCATCCTAAGGAAAGGAGCAGATCTTTCTTCCTTGTCCCAAGAACAATAAAACTCAGTTCTGCCTCCAATCTGTGTGAGATTTGAATGGACTCATTCACTTCAGAGTAAATGTATCGGTCAGATATCTCACCGTAGTGCTAGAGGCATGAGCCCCAGGTCAAGGCCAAAAGGTACAAGCAACCTGTTTGTCTTGATTACAGAATAATACAACTGATATTTAGTTAAAATGTGACTGTGATCTTCATAATCACTTGGGATTTTTCTGAATATGAAGAGGAATTGAATGTGAATTACATGATGAGATTCATAAGTGGGATGTTGACCATTTGCAGTCTTCCAAATGTCCATGCATAGTTTTTCAAAAATTACAATAATCACCCTGTTTATCCAGACAAAATACACACTTAGATAATGCTATACCACAGAGCTGAGGTTTCCATAATAGGAAAGCTGGCTCTAAATTCAGGAATTCCCTTAATGTCAAAACTAATTGTGTATTTTGATGTGGGCTGATCAAAACCTGTTGTCCTCCACTGTTGCAGTTTTTTTGTGGCAGATGTGCTGATTTTCCAGCTAGGAAAATAAAAGAAAGAAAGACAAGATCAAATCAAAGAAAGACAAGGATGAAAATGAGGTATTTGCACAGCTCAATGTCAGGTATTTGGGCTCTATAATGATGGAAAACATTATGGCAATAGATGCTACTGTGAATCAGCTGGGGTTCCTGGCAGTCTGCTGTAATTACCACCCCTTCTGCCTATAGGGGCCTGTGATAGGCTCACTGTCACCTCCCTAGAGGGAGAGATGAGCACCGTCAGAGAAAAATTCCGCACTCCCCAAATAAGAGCCCAGCTGCCACGTATTTATATGCTCTGGATTGCCCTCTGGAGGTGCCAGCTGCTCTCTGTAAACTTTATAGAAAGATTGGGCTCCAAGTTGAGTGGTGAAAATAGGGCATTTGTACTTCAGACTGATTGCAGATCTAGTCTGTATGGGTGCCCCCTTCAATAATCAAAGAAATCAACATGTGGGCAGATGTTTGTGCAGCAGCACAAGCACCTCAGAAGGTGTGGTAGAGCAGATGCTCTGGCCTCACTGCTGATGTGATGTGCCTGTTTTGGGGCTGGCAACCACCCATACAAGCCCTGCAGGAGCGGGATGGATGCAGCAGCTTATGCCTGTGTTGCTGCAGTTCGTGACACTTGCAGGCAGGTGCTCCATGGATCTGCCACATGTGCCAAGCCTCGATGCCAGCACCCTCCTCTGCAGAGGGAAAAACAAACAAAAAACAAACCTGAGCATTTGTTTTATGAACCCCATGCAAGCAGAGCACTGCACAACAATATTAGTGTCTGATACTGCAGAGCCCCTTGTGCTCCTCTGACTTGACCCCAGAGTGAGTGATAATGAACTGTACTCACAAATTGAATCCACTTGATATATCAAAACATGCATTTCTATTTTTACTGGGTGGGCCCAGCAGTGTGCTCAGTTACTATTATTTTATTTTCAGAAAGATTTTTGTAATTTTGAGGGCAGAAATATAATTGGAAAACAAAAATACAGAGCTAATGGGTTAGCATAACAAAAGGTACCAGAGTGGGTACAGATCCTTAATGCTTAGAGTAAAGTATCTATTCCCAGAATGGAATCTGAAACGTTTTGTTTAGGCTCTGTCTATAACGCAAATGGAAAGTTTGACTTCTCTGGATAATGATCCAAAAGTCTCAGAAGCAGTGAAAGGAACCTCCACTAGCTACGAAACACTAAAAATAGTGCTGCATCTGAAATTCCGCCTTTTTTTTTTTTTTTTTTTATGAAACCAGTTTGGGGATGCCTGTGTGGGATACAAAATATTTTCCCTGGTTACTCGCCTGCATCAACAGGGCATCTAAGTCTCAGTTCGAACCTCAGACCATGGGATTATATATTTTGGATTCTTTGCATTTTTATTGTTCAGTCTGTAGCACAATGCCGAATCAAACTGGTGTCCGAATTAAGGCTTAGAAATGAGCTTTTTTTAAAGCAAAAAAAACTATAAATTAGGCTTCTTTCAAAACAATTTGATCCCATGATCTAGGGCTTGCTATGGTGCTGGTGCATCCCTTTTTCCCTGGCCACTTGTAACTGGAAGACACCACTGTTCTTTTCCAGCCCATGTACCTGGATTTCTTTTTTGCCTGGACCATAACACAGGAACTGTGGAAGAGGGAGGGCTGAGGATTGGTGAGATGGTGCTAGAGTATTGGAGCCAGACCAGGGAGATCCAAACTCAGAGCCCTGCAATTTGGATGCAGATATATTTATTTTTATGGTGCCTCTGCCATCAGATCAGCTAAAAAACATCCTCTGCGCTCCAGTCATGTGTTGCGTAAGTTTTATATTCCTTTTCCAGTGGCATTCTTTCTCTTATGAATGAATGCAATGTTTTTCTAAGACATGCTTACCCTCTTGCGCTATGAAAAAGATGTATTACAAGCTGTGGCATTACAGGTTATCTCACATTAGCTGAGGGGCTTGCCCTTTGCCAGCTTTGACTCTTTGGCTGGGAACTTGTGGTCCGTGCCCATCATCCAGGCCGCCAAGGCTGGGAGCAGTGGCTGTCTGTCCAGCCGGTGGTGTGACAGGGTTTTTGAGAGCTCAGCTCGAAGCTATCTCCTTCACTCAGTGATAACTCGTCAGAGTTGCTGAATTTTCACCACTACAGCAATATCTGTCTGACCTCAGAAATAGTCGATTACCAGAGTGACTTTTTTTTTTTTCTGTGGCTGTCAGGCAGTGTGCATGACTTTCACCTTTCACCTCAAAGTAGACTAAATTTCTAACGTTATTATCTAATTATAGCACTGGTCATTGGAATGGAAAATTATTGTTACTTGTTTTTCCGTTGTTGGTTGCTCTGGGGACAGATACCCCTATCCAAATATGTTAGTTTAAAAAATTATTTTTAAAAGCACGCTGCTTCACAGAGCAACCCTGCCAGGTACTTCTCTCTTTTGCCTGGAGCTATTCATCCGCTGGCTTCTTCTCCTATTTCTTGACTCCCTCTTTCCTACCAGAGACAAGGATAAAGCACACAAAGCCATTCTCTTCTCTTCTCCTCATTTTGCCCCTCTTGTCCCAGCCCAATTTCTCCTGTAGTTTCTAAGGTCAGCCCCTATGAAGGCTCATTCTGCAAGGATGGAAAATGAGAAAGGGGGAGAGAGGAAGGACTGTGTCCACAGTGTGCAAGGAATTCTGTGTTAATAGGAAATATTGCAAATAAAACCAGTAGCTGAATGGTCTCTTCTAGGCCTTGCAGTTGTAGGGCATCAAAGCATATACTCCCATGCTGGATGTTGCAATCTTTGAGTTGCTGTCTCCGTTACCAGAATTGTCTCTAATGCTTTTGTTTCCCTGTAAAGTGCCTGCAGCAGCAATGACTGAGACTGAATACTGTTCAAAAGGACTTTTTCAGTGTGTGTTTAAAGGGAAGAAAGAGGAGAGGCTGTCCTTCTCCAGTCCTTTCTGAGAGAGTGGTTTGCAGTAGCAGGTTCTGCAGAATGGCAGGGGGGCATAAGGTGGAAGAGATGAAGGGATGCCAAAAACAGACCCTTGGGCATTTCAGCATCTCCTTGAAAGGGAGTGCTCCTTGCCTGCCAGCCCCAAGAGAGTGAGGAATAGCATTTAGGGGGACATGGCTGCCCACTGTCTGGCTGTCAGGAATGATGCATTTCAATCACAGTCAGCCTAAACTGGCCTTGAACTAAGGACCTGGAGGAGTTGGTGGTTTCCTTGATTGCGTAGGCTCAGCTGGAGGAAGGAGTTCTGGCTGAAACGCAGGTGTGTGCAGCGATGTCTGCTCTTTCACTTGGGTCATAAATCTATTATTTTACTGTTATACTGCCCCGTAGAGAATTCTGGTTTTGGTTCAGTGTGCTCTGGGATCTGCTCAGCCTCATTTCTTGTTGGGCTGAGCTGATGCAGCCAGCAAAAGTGTAAACTGCAATGGTGCTCCTGTGATGTGAGGGGCCGGCTCTCCCTGGCTACCAAACCGAATGTAATTTACATCACCACAACAGCAGAGCAAAGTTTACAGCCATTACCAAAGGAGTCCAGAGAAATGTTTTATGTTTTTATTCCAGCTAGCTCAGATCTACTGCATAGCTGCATGTTTACAGCAATCTGCGTAGGACTGTCTTGGAACTGCTTCATTGCATCCCACAGTTATCACTTTACAATTAGCTAGAGTCAAGCCAATAATCTCACAGAATATAACCAAGAGTAATTGTATTTCATGTCATGGTTCCAGTCTTGTTTTAAAATTTTCTTAAAACTACACTTGAAATAAAAATGCATTTAACAAATATCCTAAATGGTTAACTCCTATTCAGTGACGAATAGGATGTTTATTGCTTGTGGTTTCTTCAGATTGAAAATGAATTTCAACAAGTTATGATCTTATACTAGACAGTTTTAATTATGTGACATGCCTGGTTGTTATTTGAGAGTCCTTGCTCGTGTTTGGATTCTTAACACGCAGGGGAAAAAAATCATAGTTTGTTGTTTATTAAATGGTTCTTTCAGAATTTGGACAATCTTTTTCAAAATTCTTTCCATTTCAAATGTAATTACACACAGGCAGGTAACCAGGCACATTGAATTAGAATTATTTTTTCTACTTTTCTTTTTACACCACTGAGGAATGGTGCTTAAAATGCCTTGGCATCACCTGCCTCTGAAAACTTAAATTACTAGTAATCTAGTGAGAAATTATCAACACTGCTAATAATACTCCATTGCAGGGACTATCCTATACTTCTTATTCCACCAAAACAAAATAAATAAAGAAATTTGCAATCAGACACAACCATGGCTCAACTGCTCTAACTTATTTGATTTGAAATGAGCAAACATAATTCCTCCAGATCTGAGTAGATTCACAGCTATGAAATGTCACAATTGCCCAAGAAGGTCATCCTCTCATTTCTCCTCCTTCAGCCTCCCTCATTAATGGATCTCCAAGAGCCCTCTGCGGTATTGATCTAGTCACGCAATGCATGCGGGGAGCCCCGGGATGTGTTTCCAGTGGTTCAGCCAGCAGCCCTGTCCTGTTAGTGCTCTGCACCGACCACCAAATAAAAAAAGATAACACCATTTTTTCTAATGATTCATTAGGAATGCTAATGATTCATTTCTCATACATATGGAAGTGTTCAGTCATCAGGAACAGCTTTAAATTCTTACCGCAGCTACAGTTAATGGCACCTCGAGGTATCATTTGGATATATTTTGCTGGGTTTGGTGTCCTACAAAATGTGACTAAACCAGGATTGCTTCTGTGTGACAGATCTCTCCTACTGTGTTTTACGTTACTCTGAGGTAATGCTAATAATGTATGTCTGCTTTCTAACCGGTCAGGTTGTATAACCATGCAGAACAAGGCCAGCAGTCAACATTAGCATTTTAATTACAAAGGTTTCTATCAGCAGATTTTTACTGCACGAGACAAAATTTCTAGACAGACGCTGTGCCACGAAGAGGGAAGCTTAACAAAGGACAGCAGGGAAAAAACGTCAGACCTATAGCAATGCATCTGATTGTAGAGAGCTTTCTGCAGACCCTGTGGCCAGTCAGCTGAAGTGAGTGGTGAAATTGTGGGATAATGAATGGAAGATAAATCGAGCAGAGGAGAAATTTGGGGCTCATAGGGAACTGCCTGTTCTGCTGGGGCAGGTGAATATTTCTGAGGGTGCCTACTCAGCATATGTTGGAGTGGAATGAATTTCCTTATTGTGAGGCAAGACAAGCTCATTATTTAAGAAGATAAAATAAGTATGGCCTAGGGCTGGTGCAGGGGAGTTAAACTGACTCTGAACACAAAATAGGTTTGAACTGTGGTTTGTTTGTTTGTTTTTCTCTTTAACTTTTCTTGAACCAGAACTGAACTTGCATGTTATCTTGAATTTTAGCTGACTGCATGCTGGAAGTGAACAAATAACAGCTTAAGTCAGAGCTGACTGCGAACCAAGCCGAAAAACCGACTGGCATGGCTCCTGGTGTGCAGGCTGCTGCTCTGGCTGCTCCCAGGACTGAGCATGAGAAGGGCTTCCAGAGCAGGTAGGAGGAGTACCATGTTTCGCTGTAGTCTCAGACAGCAAGGATCAAGAGGCAAAACACTCCAGTTAATCATGTCTGTAAATGTTAAAGTCATTTTCTTCCCCTCAGGTCCCCAAAGCAGGACTCTCATATCGTGAGAATAACAAATACAAAACAGCTTGTACTGCCATGGTTGTCCTGAAAAGGCTTCAGGAATTTTTCCTGTTTTGATGGGACTTAATGCCTTACCTCTTCTTTCTATAGGTGAGTCAAAGAAATAAGATAGTTGAAGTGATTAAAGGATGTTTCTGGGCAGGACTGTTTAAGACAGCCAGTCAATGCAGTGAATTTCAATCAGCAATAGTGATTGATTACGTTCTACCTAATAGGATCAGTGGACACAATATATACTGGACTTCTTTTTTCCCCAACATTCTTCTTGGCCACTGAGCTCTGATAACTGCAGCTCGTTTTGCATATTGGATGAAGCAGAGACAATGTTTTCCCCAAATTCCCCCGAGTTATTGCTACAAGAAAAGCGATGAGGTAAGGTGGAACAAAGCTTTCTGTGGCTGGAGTTTGTTCTTTTATAAATGTTTTTTTTTTTTTTTTTTTTTTTTTTTTTTTTTTTTCCCTGTCATCAGCAAGGCCTCCTCATCCTCCCCAGTGCTGAAATGTTTTCACCTGAGGTGTGTGTCACACACCTGGTGGTGAGGGTCTTAGGTCCTGGGAGCTGAAAGGAAGGGAAAAAAGTGCTGCTCAGTGGTGAGATCACTGCTGACACATGTGCTGTGCGCAGGACGGTTCTCGGAGCCTGGCAATTTCCTTTGCTTCGCAGAGGGCAAAAAAACCCTGTGTGGCCCACAATGTGCTTTCACTAAGTGGTGTGTCCTCAGGGAAGGAGAAGAAGCTCTTCTGCTTTGCCTTGAAATTGCTTTCCATGTCACTTGCTAAACAGTTATCAGTTAAATAAACTCCTGGCTATCCTCTAGACATGATTCTCTACTGGGAGTCGCTTTATATACATTTCATTCAACAGATACTTTTTCCCTTACTTCAATTTCACATTCTGTTTTGCATATTTTAGTCAGAATCCTATGCTTTATTGTTTCCATGCTGGTGAATAGTGCTCCTCCAATTCTCAGGATACACATTTTCTGGTCCTGCCCACAGCTGGACGAGTGAACGTGTACGCACTCATCAGTAAGGCCGTGATGTATTTTTTGTACTTCTTTCTACCACAGAGGTAGGGTTGGAGGATGGATGTCTTGTCGTCCTACCAGAACGATGTGTGTGCAAACAGTTAACTCCCGGCAGCTGTTGGGAAGAAATGTTGTAATTTACACAAAAGGCGATTTAGCCAAAAGGTGGCACTGCGGCTGCACAGATTTTGCAGCAGATCAGCAGTCTCGTAGAAGTTAATGAGCCATTCAATACATGCATTGTAACTCCACTTTTCATACCTTGTCAACGGTAAGTATCGAAAACTGGCTAATTATTTCCCAAACATTAGAATAATAGCCGTGTTTCAGGAGCAACCAATTTGGTAACCATACTGTAAAAGCAATGAATACTTTATCCTTGCTTCAGGGAATCTGGACAACCCAATAAAAACAAACAAACAAAAAGCCAATCGATACCTGAAAATGTGCTGCCAAAGTGGACAGAATATTTCAGCTCTGCATGTGTCCTACACACAGACTCTTTGTCCTGACTGCTTGCTTTGTGGCCTCCAGGGCAAGGAGAGAGATGTTCCTCAGCAGCTTGTTCTCGGGATAGATCCCTGCTCTTAAAAGCACTTCTGGGGCTGGCTGTACCAGGGGCTGGTGAGATGGTTCATTAGCAGGCTGAGCACTACACAAGCCTCATATTCTGCCACCTACAGACTGGGCCACTCAGCAAGCTCACAAAGGCCACTGCGTGCTGAAACACATGCCAGCAGTTTGGGAACCCAATGCCCAGGTTTAGTTTGCGGTGAAGATGCTGGGGTGAGCCACAGAGGGATGAGATATGGAAAGGGAGAGAGCCATGGCCTCGGGCTGCATCCTTTCACGGGTGTCCTGCTGTTGGGGGCTTCAGGGGCTGAAGGTGGAGAGGGCAGTGTCTGTATGACTCTTAGAAAAAAAAAACAAAACAAAAAAAAAAAAACAGTGTATAAATAAAAATAAACAAAAAGCACATGAAAAGATTCTTAAGTAATAAAGTCAATAAGCCAGGACTCCGAGAGCATATTTAAGGCTTGAAGCAAGCCTGGCTGAGGTCCTTCACCAAGGATGAGCCCTGGGATTTCAGCACCACAGGGGCACGGCACCCGCTTTCTCTTGCTCCAGATCTTGTGTGAGGGTGCTCCCGCAACAAGGGGCTTCTGTCTGCACTTGACTTCTCTAAGTGGGAGGAATTACGAGATACTGCCCAAGACTAAGTGGCCTTTTCATCTGCGTTAATAATACCATTAACAACTCTCTCCTTTGTAGCATCGTTGTACAACCCAAACCGTTAGGGTTATTCGGCACGCACCCGGGGACACGCCAGCTGAGCCGCCAACTGCCCCTTTAAACCCACAGCGCTCTCACACCATCGCGGGGGAAGAAGCTTTCCAGAAAAGTCAGATGCATTCCAGACCTATTTCTTTTTCTTTTTCTTTTTTTTTTATTTCTTTCTTTCTCTCTCTCTTTTTTTTTTTTTTTTTTCCCCTCCAGGCGACAATTTGCTTTGCGCACCCAAACGCGCTGCCGCAACCTGGGGCGGGAAGCGGGCGGGCGATTTACAGAAAACCACTCCAGAAAAAAAAAAAAAAAAAAAAAAAAGGAATAATAATTAAAAAAAAAAGTGGAAAACCAGAAGAAATTTCAAGCAAGGACAGCCACAGAGCAGGAGGAAAAGCCAAGCCCCGGGTGCGGGCAACGCGGCCACCTGGGCGGGGGCGGGGGGCGGCAGCGCCTTGCCCGCCCCCCTGGCGGCCCGGCTCGGCTCGGCCCGGCCCGGCCCGGCCCCGTCGGGGCGGAGCTCGGGGCCGTTTCATTGAGCGGCTCGGGGCGCGCCGTCGGGGCGGCGGGCGAGGAGGGGGCCGCGCTGCTGCTGCTGCCGCCGCCGCCGCGGAGCCCCGAGGGGGCGGGCGTGTGTGCGTGCGTGTGTGTGCCCGCACGGGGATGCGGCGGGCGGCGTGAGAAGGAGGCGAGGAGGGGAAGGAGGGGACGGGCGATGCTCCGCCGCCGCGGCGGCTCCGCGCACGGGGGGACCTAGGAGCGGCGGTGGCGCGCAGCGAGGGACGGCTCGACGGCCGGCCGAGACCCCTCCAAACACCCCCGCCCCGGCGCGATGGCCACCGAGGTGCTGTGCGGGCTCACCTTCAGGCTGCTCCTGCCCGTGTGCCTGGCTGCCGGTACGTCCCTCTGTCCGTCTGTCTGTCCCTCCGGCCCCGGGACGCGCGGGTCGGCTGCTCTGGGGATGCTCCGCTTTCCTCCCCGGCGGCTGCTGCCGAATTGCTTTATATTCGCAACAAACTTTCCTTCCCCTTTCCCCAACCCTGTCTTTATCCCTTACACCGCCGTTGCTATTCCCTGCGCCGGTGGCCGTGGATTTTGCTGCCGGGACGGGAGAGCCGGGGCCGGGGGGCTCCCGGCGGCCGCCCCGCTCCCGTTCGCGGCCGTTTTGGGAAATTCCCAAATTCGCGGAGCTTTGCGGGGGGGAGTTGGTTGCTCTTTTTATTTATTATTATTATTATTTTGTTTATAGCTTGAAATTTCAGTTTGTTAAAGCGCCTTACTTAGCAGGCAGCTGGCCAAAGCAGGGATTATTTTTGGACGTAGAGCCGCGGTGCCCAGCCGTGGGTGGATATGCTAATATTATTAATCCGTGCCCTCCGCGTAATTCGAAAATACAACTTCAAATAAAGCACCGCTTGCTTGCTCGGTCAGCAGGACGATGAGCTTTGCCTCCAGTGCTGCGCTTGCTGCTCAGGCTGCTGCTGGCTGGGGTGGACACAGGGCAGGAGGGGGCAAGCAGGGGCTGGGAAGACCCCCTCCGGGCCCTACACTTTGCCCTGGAGAAGCCCTGTGGTGGCCTGACTGTGGCCTCGCCATCCCAGCATCTCCTTCCCTGAGGGGTGCCCCCCGCTGCCCCTCCCCAGGGTGTCCTCAGCATGCTCCCCAAAGAAGGCCACTGGCAGCTGCCCTAGGAGTGCAGGCTGTAGGTAGGGTGGGACGGAGGGGGTGATGGAGGCAGCTTTGCAGCCCACGACCAGTGCCTACACCCCATTTCTGAAGCTCCAGGCCCCTGTGCAGCTTGCTGGCCCAGCTCTTGGCTGGGTTGCAGTTCCCCAGGCCCCTTGGAGTGGGATCCCACCAGCTTCATGGCCATCCATCCCTGCATCAGTGGGGTATGAGTGGGCATCAACACGGCCGGCGTGTGGTTGGAGCTGGGTGGTGGATGGGGCAGGAGGCAGGCAACGCTGAATGCCAAGGGTGGTATCACCAGGCATTCCCCCCATGCCAGGGCAAGGCGAAGGGCACCCCTGTGTTTGAAACCTGTCAGGCCCTGTCCGTGTTTTCCTTAATCTCATTAAAGATGAGTGGTTTGTGGATGAGGATGAATTGGCTGGAAAGCCATGTGGGGAGAAGGAAAGATTCTAGAAGTTAAATTGTGTCGAGGGGAGTTTTGTTGATGTCTCTTACACCATAATAGCTAGCTGAGGTATTACAGTAGTAGAGGGGTTTTCCTGTCAGGTGCTTGCTTATGTTGTGGTTCTTGCCAATCTCTTTCTGTATCACAAGAAGTTTAGATAAAATTGTTTTGCCATCCTGATTCCTGGTACTCGGTAATGCAGAGGTACTTTCGCATTGCAGTAAGACCTCCATGGATGAGAGCTGATGTCAAAAATTGCTTATGGTCTTAAGTCACCTTCATGTGAAGATTAATCGAAATGTAAACCCTGAAGGAGGGACTTCCTGGCTTGCATATGAACAGACACCCTTCTGTAGAGGTTTTGGACCTAGTGATCTCGTTCAGTTTTTTGTGCCTTAATGTGCTATGTCAATAGGTGCTGCTCCTTTTCCCGTTGCAAACCCTTAGCAGAGTGTTCTCTGAGGTGAAGCCTAGTTCAGCTACTTCACTGCTCCACTTCTGTGTCTGCACCTGAGCGATTCCTGAGCCAATGCTCTCCTCCTTTCCAAAGCTTCAGGGAAGTGCTTCGTGGGCTTCTGGAAAAAGGCTCTTTAGAGTTCATATATCAGAATGATGGTTATTTGTATGACTTAAGGTGAGGTTACATCCGGAGCTGAAAAGCTGCCACAAGGACTCACTGCGCAGAGTGATGCCTTGTGTCTCCTGCTCCTGTCTGGGCAGTAGATGTGTGCAGCTGTGCCAAAAAGTGGAGCTTTGCATTTTGTTCAGGATCTGTGTGTGTGATTTAAAATGATGGATTGCTGTAGTTTCTTATCGTGGTAGAATTTGCTTTTGGGTTTCTAACTAGCTTGGAGAGCCCTGACGAGGTGTGTGGACGGGAATAGCAGCTGGGGCAAACTCATTAAAAATAACACATCTGCAAAGCTGAAATACGAGTCTTTAAAAATGTTTAAGACTTTAATTCCTTGATATTTTAGTATTTAATTTTATTTACTTTTCAAATAAAGTATTTAATATTTGCTGGTATGAAATACTTTCCAAGCATGGATTAATGTCACGTAATTGGGAAAACACAATTCATTGTCAGAATATTTTAAGATCAGATCTGTAGTGCTGAAGTGTCATCTTGTGCAGGGTAGCCTAGATGACTTCATTTAAAGCACAAGAATGATGTGTGTTGAGCGGCTAGTGAAAACAGGAAATTTAAAATGTGCAAAATGAACGACTTTGGAGATTGAAAAGTTGCCTGTAGCTGTATGACCTCAAAATTGATCCACCATCATGTAATTTTCATGACAAAATCTTACGTTCAGTCTGATGTGAACCTAGAGCTTAGAGGACAACTCACAGGATCATGAAACTTCTTTGCAAATGAAGTACTGTGCTCTGCAATAAGACAGGGATTTGGATCTGTTGTTGTTTTTTC